AAAAAAAAAAAAAAAAAAAAAAAAAAAAAAAAATTAAGATGCCTTTGAAGTGGTGCATGCCTGTAATCCCAACACCCCGGTAGGCTGAAGCAGAAGGATTGCAAATTTGAGCCTGGCCTGGGCAACTGAACAACTCAGGGAGACCCTGTCTCAAAATAAAAAACAAGAAGAAGCTGGGGGAGGTTGATGGCAAGGTCCTGAGTTTGGTCCCCAGTACAACAACAACAAAAAAATATCCCTTTGATTTCTACAGGCCACTTATATAAATACATCCAAGATGATACTCCTTACCAATTCAGTTTTCAGGAAGGAAAACATCTCTTTGCTCTCTCCAGGAGATTGCAAGTAATTTCGCCTCAGCAACAGTATCATTGAGGATGACGATGGTATTTCCTACACCTGGCTCAGATTGCTCAAATTTGAAATGGTCTTTCTTAATGACCAGTCCAAGAGGGGGTTCGGGTTCATCAACTTTGACTTATTCTTTGGTACCATAATAAAGTAGAGACTTAACTGATTTTCACTAAGTTGGTCTTTAATAAAGGGATTCAGGGGGCACACAGTTCTGTTTTGCCTTTTGATCTGCCATCCTCTAAACACAGCTTTCCCGCCCGGATCATGTGCCCGGGGTGAGGGAGGGGTGGAGGATCCTGTGTGGTCTCACTGCTATGCAAAGCTGTTGTATAATCCTGCTGGGCCACTTTCTCAGGAGTAGCATGTGAAGTTGAATATTGTTTTTAGTTCGACAGTGAATGGACTGTGATATGGTTACCTTCACTTCTCTGCTGTGCTTGCTCACTGTGTCCTCTGCCCACATGGGCCCTTGGCTGTCCTCTCCTCCCCTTGGGAGCCCACGCATATGCCTCCACCCCAGCTCTAGCTGGTCCTCATCCCTCTAACTGCTGTCTCTCTCAGTTTCTCACATTATTTTTCTTTTTTTTTTCCCTCATTGAGTTTATTGATACATTTTAGGTATACAGTACAGTTACATTCATTATTGGGATCACATTATTTTGTTTATATTATTCTCCTTAAGTCACACCTTATTCTCTCTTTTGCTCTATCCAGAATACAGCATCCATGGGTGGTGGAGGCAGAGGAACTGGTTTAATTTTTGTTGCATCCTTTGTCCTAAAATAGTACCTCTCAGTAAGCACTGCTTGAATGGATGGCCTTAGCCATCAGGGTGTGGAGCATGCAGAGCTTGAGTTTAGGCTGGAGTTTGAGTCTTCATGGAGGATGTGGTCCTGGGAGAGGGTGGGCAGACGGAGAGAGAACAGAGACAAAAGCACGCCACTGAATCTGCTGTCACTATCATCACTGGTTGCCCACCCAAGGTCTTCCCTGAGGAGCATAGGACTGCATTCCAGGACCTGCATCTGGAGCAGGGGATAATATTAATCCCATCTTCCTCTGTCACCTCCCAACCTCTACTGCACAGAGAGCACCAAAACCTGCACAAGTGAGTCACTGGGTCCGACCAGGAGAGGTGTCACTCCCACTCCTGGAGTGAATTTGCTCCTGAATCCAATGGCTGTGGGCTCAGTTTAATTACCACACACTGGAGGATAGGATCCCAAATACACTAGAGATTTCCCCTGAGTTGACTCCAAGGCAGAGTCTTAAACTGAACATGGTAGCATTTTCTTGGCTTTCTGCTGACATGAGTGTGTGTACTGTATGACCAGGAGATCCCATGAGCATGTGCCCAATGCCTGGGTCCTTTACAGTACACAAGTGCTTGGCCCAGGCTTGTGGCAACATAATCATCTTCCCCTCACTCATGGGAAGATGTGTTCCAAGACTCTCAGTGGATGTCTGAAACTACAGAGAGTACTGAACCCTAAACGCAGGGTATGATATTAAATATACAGTGAATGTTTAAATTTTTAAAAATTATTACTTTTTAACAATCACATTGCCAGGGCTGGGAATTTAGCTCAGTGGTTTCGCCACCTGCCTCGCAAGCAGAAGGACCCAGGTTTGATCCCCGGTACCAAAAAAAAAAAAAAAAAAAAATCATATTGCCATTAATCCCTCATACTTCCAGCAGACTTATCCCACGGTGGTTGCCACTTTCTGAAGCAGTTCTGGAAGTCCTCTTCTGTGGTCTTGTGTCATGGCCACCCAAGTAGGCCGACAGCTTTCCTTGTTTGGCATTTATCTGTGCATGGGAGTAAGGCGCTCACAAGATGAGATAAAAAATGCAATGAATGTTGCTGCTGCACGCCATCCAGCAGCAGGACAGGCTTGTAAAATCATTATGGTTTATCCTCATCCACTTCATTCGCCAGATCTGACACCACATTACTTCTGACTCTTCCTCAAAGTCAAAATGATAATCAAAGGTAAACATTTTGAATCAATTCACAACATCAAGGCAGCCAAAACAGCACAATAATGACACTCACAGAAGAGGACTTCCAGAACTCCTTCAGAAAGTGGCAAGAATGATAGAGTAAGTGTTTGAATCGAGGAGGAGCATTCTGAAGGGGATTAATGGCAATGTGTCTTTTACTGTAATAAAAATAAGCCCAAAGCTTCCCAAAGTTAATAGAAATCAACTTACTGATCCAAGTAACTCAGTGAGCCCCAAATAGGGTACTTACTAAGAAAATCTGCACTTATGGTACATCCTAGAAAAATTGCTCTAAAGTTTTCAATTAAAAAAAGATAAAGAGAAAATCTTGAAAGCATCCAGAAGAAAAATGCACATTATATACAGAGGAAAAAAGCTAAGAATGATGCTGATGTCTCCTCAGAAACGACAGCACTCAGGATAGTGTACAGAGAGACTTAGAATGTTAGCAGAACTGTCGAATTAAAATTCTGCAACAAGTGGCAACATCCTTCAAAGAGAAGAATATGGAAGAGTGAAATAAGGACATATTCAGAACAATAAAACCCGAGAGATCTACACCACCAGAATGTTCTTCAGGCAGAAGGAAAACTGTACCATTTGGAAATAAGAATTACAAGAAGGAATGAAGGATGTCTGAACTGATAACTAGCCCCACATCCCATGTCAGAGGTTAACAGTCAGCCTCAGTAAATTCACTGCATCTGGTACAGAAGGGGGTTGTAGGGGTTCCATTTACCTGATTACTTTTATAAGAACTCCTTTACCACCATCCACCTGATTCTTGCAGGGGCTAAACAGGTGAGTTGAATGGGACTACAATAAGGTTCCTCTGGACTTGTAGTGTCACTTGGGACTTGCTATCCTAACCAGGACATGCCACAATCAGAAGCTTCTGTTTGGCTTTTCCTGCCTAATGGCTTTTTCTCCCCACAAGTCAAGGAATCAACGGCAAGATCCTGAAAGCTCCAAATTCTAGCTACACAAGGGACTACACAAGGAACTTAGGAAACGATGGCAGGGCAAGTCCTTGGATTCATTGGCTCCACTGTGAGATGGCCTTGGGCAAGAACTCCATTTCTCACCTGCTCTCCATAAGCCTCCAGGGGCAAGGATGGAGTTTCGGGCCTCCTGGCATCAGACCTCATATTCAACAATCTTTGAAAGTCTAGATAGTCCCCTTTCCTCAGTCACAGTTACCCTAGTAATAGCCATACGTCACTTTGGGGAAGAATTAAGAAGGCAATTACTGTGTAAATGAACAGGTTCCCTGCAGGATTCTTTCTCGAAGGGATCCCATTTCCCTTTTAATTAATTAGTCAAAGCGGGCTGGGTCTGAGCTATCTACACTGTCACGTATACCTCCCTGGCTCCCATTGGAGCCTCCTGAGCAGCTCCTGCTGTCTACACCGTGTGAGCTATTTCCTCTCAGAGCAGGGAATGTCTTTCTCCACTCCAGCCATGCAGAGGGGTGACTTTAGCCATCAGCCTTCTCAAGCTGGAAATGTTGAGGGGAGTGGGGACGCATACAGAGAAAGAAAAGCATCACCCACCTTCCTCAAGTGAGGTTCTGTGGACCCTCTGGGAAGTAGAAGGCTCTCTTCTCTTTTGAGAGAAAGGAAATTGTTTCTGCTAGTATGGAAGGTTCAAGGGATCCCAGCTGCGCAGGCTTCTCAGGCCCATCCACCTATGGTTGCCATCCTGGATCTCAGAGCTCCACTCTTTTGCTCTCAGGATCCTGGCTTAGGCAAAACAGACCTGTGCATTCAGGCTCTTTTGCAACGCTGCAGCTCTTAGGGTCAGATCCTGTGTCTGATTTTCAGCCCAGTCTGCCCTACAAGAAATGCAAACCTCAAAGTTGCCAGAGGCCCTCTGACTTCCATGGCATGATTCGAACTGACAGTTGGCTGCTCTCAGCCTCTTACTTTCTTTTCTCAAGGCTCCTAGAGCCACTTAACAAAAGACAACTGCTCCATGCTATTAAATGTCTCGGCCCTGTGCGGCCCCAAGTGTCACTTTCCTTGCATACCTCACCCCTGTGAGAACCCTGTCCGTTATGTGCCCGGACCATCCAGTTTGCCACCTGGAATGAGGTCCTCACTGACCTTTGCCTCCTGGGTGACCCAGCACCAAAATCCCATCCTGAGGTTTTCCCTTCAGAAACTATGTTCTTGTCTCAACTCTCTGAGCCAGGACTGGAGAAAAAAAGGCATTGCGGGGGATTTTTAAACTCGGGATGAAACATTAGGCACATAACAAAGTGAAGGAGTCTGGGAACCCAGTTGTCACCCTTGCCTTGGTTCTTTGAACTAGAGGGGAAGGTGAAGAAGCCCTAGCCCCAGAAGTGTGATGCTGATTTTATTACTGATCACATGCACAGCCGGCCCTCCAAAGTGCCGCTATTTATGAGAGGATGGAAAATTAACTTGTTAAATGGCAATTTAACCATTCTATAAATAAGAATAATGAAACTCAAGCTGCAGTCCACTTTGAATTAAAAGCCCTTGCTTTCTCCACTAGACCATGCTGCAAGTATTGTCCTGAGGACCTGGGGACCATTGCCCCAAACTGGTCCTAAATAGTCTGAAAAGTAACTCAGGTGGAATAAGTGAGGTTTGGAATTATTTAAGGGACACTGTCTATTAAACCCCTAGATTAATCTGAATCTGAAATCAGACAGGAACCCATTAGAATTATAATCTGGCCTCCAAAGCTAGGAAGTCAGTTCTTTTCCAAATGACTGTTTTCTAGAGTATAAATATAGCTTCTTCTGTATTCTGTGGGATTTTCCTTTCTGACAGTAAAATTTGCTGAAAATGTACAATTTGATAAGAAAAATATTTGGACATCTGGGACAGGAGGGAAGTTGTAAATTCCCTGCTCTCCATCCCAGAAGGAAATGGAAAGAAGGGTCCAGCTGTATTTCCATGCTCCAGGCACAAAAGAATTCTGTTCCTCTCCATCAGGTCTTCTTAGGGATAGCCATGCACCGGCTTTTTCCCTCGGGACAGATGCCTGTGCACATGGTCACCAGCTGACAGGGGAAAAGACCAGAGCACCCATCCTGAGCACAGCCTCAGGATACACAGCCTGCACTGGCCTCAGCCCACTCTCACTGTTAAGAAGCAAACAGTGGGCCAGGGATTTAGCTCAGCGGTTCGGTGGCCTGCCTCACAAGCGCAAGGACCCAAGTTCAACCCCTGGCACCAAAAAAAAAAAAAAAAAAAAAA